GCCTAACACTGACCACAAACCCCAATTCACACCTTGGTCCTAAACCAAACCCCCAACCCAAAAATGGAGTTCCACCATATTAGGACCGGTCTTTGGTCCCCATTAGGACTACTGGTCTTGACAAGGTAGGTGTGTATACTGGAAACGGTCCTAAATAGGTAACAAAAACAAGTACAAACACACACACACAAACGTGTCCACCTATACATATGGGGACATTCCATTGACTTCCATTACATTTCTACAGCCTAACCCTGACCACAAACTCTAAGGCTAACCTCACAGGTACCTACCTGACCCTAAAACTGACCTAAACTAAATTCACACCTTGGTCCTAAACCCAACCCCCAACCCACCAATGGTCTTAAACCAAACGGGGACTCGACTTAGGTCCCCATATTTACCAGTGGTCCCCACATGTAGGTGTTTTGTCATAAAATTGTCCTTATTTGTCACCAAAAACACGTACACACACACACACACACACACACACACACACACACACACACACACACACACACAAACATGTTTGTATTGCCATTGATTTTGGAACATGGTGTTGACTTCAATTCAGTCTTTAGCCAAACTCTGTTAGCTTAACCTGCCTCCATTGACTTAATCCCTAAAGACATTTCACCTTTCAGACTTCACACATCAGGTAACGTCTTTGGCACTAACTAACTCGCTAAACCTTTAGCCAAATGTTTTCAACCACTGGATGGATTTATAAAACTCACTGACGTTTAAATTCAATGCAGTTCAAGATGCTACCAACACAGAAATGATAGATTTAAAGATGTTGAGTTAAATTTGGTGCAGTGCTGATCGTCATCCTGGTCTGGAAACAATTGATTGTTTAACTTTTTCCACATTTAGTGATGCCACTGACTTTTTCCAAAATGGAAAAATTAATATTTTTTTCTGAAAGTTCCACACACAATAAGCCAAAGTGACAAAGTAAAAGAGTTATTTGGATTTTTTTGCAAATTTCAAATTCTTTTTCTTCTTCTTCTTCTTCTTCTTCTTCTTCTTCTTCTTCTTCTTCTTCTTCTT